TGAATATTCCAAAGAATTCACAACTTCTGGTGCTTGATATAAATAATCTACTGATCGACTGGAATTGAACTTTGAATTGTTAACACCTAGCTTAACAGCTCTTGAGAAATTACCAATTTTGTATCGTCCTTCATCCTTAAAGTAGAATATATTCTCTGGTCTCAAATCACAATGGACAAAATCTAAATCATGTAAACGAGAAAGACTTTCGGCAACATGTAAGCAAACCTTCAAATCATTTGTTTCGTCTATTTCTTTCACTAAATATTCTGCAAGTGAATATTCTGCTTTCGGAATAATTACATAATTTTTCAAGAAATCAATATTTCCATTGTCTAATATTGGTACTAAATAATTATCAGTTGCATCTTGTTGGGTATTTTTGATTTTTAAATAGGTTTCGTATTCTTCCCCAATTAAAATTTTCATCAGAAATTTCTTGGAAGGATCATCCTTCAAGCAAACATTAACGAAGCGTGATTGTTTAAAATTTTCATCGAGTGCTGAATATTTGACGGGCCACGATTGCTTGTACATTTTTTATAATATTCTAATTCGAAACCTTTCAGAATTCAAAAAACAAAAATGAGTGAAGGCCAGTGGAGGTGTGTGATTAAAGCACATCCTCCCCATGATGTTCTGGAAATTTGTTCTCTACTAAACAGCTTTGTTATTGAAGTTGATAGAATATTTATTTCTAATTGCCAGATTTTTGCTTTTGCTGGCGTGTGGGAATTAACATTCCCAAGCCGAAACGAGGAAGGAAACGATAGATTTATTGAATTTAATGAATCTACATTCAACAAATTGCGAAGTTATTGTTTAAATATTGAAAGACTATTTCTTTCGGGAACCAAAGCTATTAGTACCGAATCTCTGTATCTAAAAATTGTTCTATTATTGGAGGAGGAAGATAATCCACTGGAGAGGTACAAGTATATTTACAACAAAGTGAAGGAAGCCGAAATATCTTGTGTGCAACACTATTATGAATATTTAGAACACCAATATTTTGTAATTATTAGCGAAAAAGCAGAGTGTGATTTAAAAACCTATTTGGAAACGAATGAGTTGAGTTTGGAAGTTAGGATAAATCTCTGTGTACAATATGCTGAGCTAGTACTAAAATTACATGAGCAGAATATTGTTCATTGCGATTTGAAACCAAGCAATGTATTGGTACTCAAGGATGGCAGTTTAAGGCTAACTGATTTTGAAGGGTCTTCTTACTTGAAAGATAACAAGAGCTTTTTCAATTCCCATTGTAAATCAATTGGTTACTTTGATGAGACAGTTAGTGTTGAGCAGTTTCAAGACCTTTTAAATCGTGATTTATTTGCTTTGGGTATTAGTTTTATTGAAATATTTATGTGTAATCCGAATAATCATATTACAACAAAGCACGAATTCATCAAGAGAAAAGAGTTTGCCAAATATCCATATTCAACAATTTATCANACAGTGGAATCTTTTCTTAAAAACGATCAGTCTCGTAGTATTAAAGATTTAATACATAAATTACAGGAAGTTAGCATTGAGTTGAGTTACATGATTTAATTATTTCCAGA